TGGGGTTAACCGAACCGCACCGAACCGAAAATTTCGGTGCGGTTTCGGTTCGGTTTTTCTACATGTTTCGGTGCGGTTCGGTTTGAGTAAATGAAAAAAATTCAATTTTCGGTTTTTTGCGGTTCGGTGCGGTTTTGCACCGAACCGCACCATGCTCACCCCTACAAAAAGAGACCCGAAGCATTGTGGGTGCTCTAAGTGTATATCCTAATATCTAAGAATATTGTTCATTTTTTGTGTTATTTATATCTCGTTTTTTTTTTTCCTGCATACTTATAGTATATTTTCTGGTTTAATACATACAAAATAGACGATCAAGATTATATACGAAAGATGTACAAAAGATATAGTCATTATATACAAATGACATAAGTAAAATATACAACAAATATACATAAACTTGGTCATTATATACAGAATATAGACAAAAGATATACGAAGCCGGGCGACAAAACATGCGAAGCGCGGGCGACGAAAATATATATTGAACATATACTGCATATACACGCAACATATACTGTCGATTGTGAGTTTACGATAACTAAATATCTCCCATCAATAACGCCATTAAAAGCTCCATCAACTCTCAATCCACGCGCCCACCGTCCCCCTTCCCGCGCGCGCCCGCAATCTCCATTATCAACCTTCATCGTCATACAGCCTCGGAGAATACATCAGCAACACATGACATCGTCCGATTTGCCGTCAACTTTCACGACCGAGAATTGTGCGACGATGGAGTCCACCATCGAAAATCTCTCCAACCGTCAGAAATTGTTGCTCGTCCACCATCAGCACGCTCGAGAAGCCATCGGTGACGAAGAACTTGGCGAAGCCGCGGAGTGCACCATCAACATGCTAGATTTCTTCCGAGCAGCAGGTAAGAGAGAGAGAGAGGGTTGAGGAGGAGAGAGAGATGGACATGGGTTATCCATGAAGAAGAGAGAGAGAAAGAGAGAGAGAGAGAGAGAGAGAGAGAGAGAGAGAGAGAGAGAGAGAGAGAGAGAGAGAGGGATGAGGAGGAAAGAGACCATATAATTAGGGTACTTACCTATTCAAACCAACTTCTAGTATATATGTAAATAATATAATAAATTTTAGTTACTTTGCTAATAAATATATAAGGGTTGTAAATGTGCAATAATGTTGTAAATATTTTAGTACACTATGTAACTAGTACAACGCCCGTGTATTACACGGGTGTTTGCTAATTTTTTCTTAAAATCTAAAATTAATGAGGAAAAGTAATTGAAAATTTCAATACCTTTTATAAAAAGGTATATATTATTATACATTTACTATGACACTATTTTATTTGTGCGACTTACATTTGTTATATTATAATAATTTATTTAACTTACGACATATAACTACATTAAACATAAATAAATCAATTGATAAATAATTTTATTTTTCTAATGAATTTTAATAAATAATAATATTTATTATTATAAAGATAAATATAATTTATTTATTTCATATATACAATATGGATGTCAAATCGAAGATCATCAAAAGATGATTAATTTGATATATTTTATATATGTAAAATCGATAAGAAATACAAAAGTTATCAACTTTTAAAATACATTTAGGGGTCGTTTACTTTGCAGTATGGGATTGAACAATTTAGTCCACCTCACTTTACACGTCAGCAATTGTCCATTATTTACTTCATGGGATCCAATTTTCTGATAACAAATCAAACATTTATTTTGTGGGACTAAATTAAATGATAAAACACAATTTGACATAATTACCCTTACACACAAGATTCATCTGCCTTCTTCATTCACTACATTCGACATTTTGCAGAATCCTCAATTTGGAAGTCGCCGGGCAGAGTCGAAAAC